TGTTACAAACAGCTAAATGGCACCACGAACGAAGGTTGAGAGGTAAGGCTGTGAGTCTGTGACTCGTACTAACAGGTAGAAAAATTGATTTGGTTTATACGGATTGCAATTTGAGGAAAAGGTATGGCAAGTCTGCCTCAAATCTTCAACCAAATGCCAAATCTCAACCATCAAAAAACCCACATGGTCCCCTCGTTGTGTTGATCAACCCAACATTATCTCTTCAGTCTTCTCTTCAAGGTGAGAGAACATAAAGCTAACAATCAAAAGAACAAGAAAAATGCTGAAATAAACACAACCCAACAACTAGAAAAAAAAAGAAAAAAAAAAAAAAAAAAAAAAAAAAAAAAAAAACTCTCTCTCAAGGAATCAGAAACCAAGTTAAGGTGGGGGTTCTAAGGATCTTTTTTCTTTAGTTTCTTTTTCTTCTTTGTTTTTTTGGGTTAATTTTCCTATTTTTCTTCAAAAATTTTCCAAAAAAATAATTTAAAAAATAATTTAACTGAAAATTGGATGAAATGTTGATGATTTAGATGGCAGGGGGTAAATTGACGGAAAAAAAAATTCATATCCTAAATTTTCTAAAAAAAAAAGAATAGGGGGCTAATTGAAAATTATGTACAAGTTCAGGGGGTATTTCACTAGTAAACCCTAAAAAAAATAATAATAAACCCACTAATACAAGCATATAGTGAAATTAGTAAAATTAAATAATATAAAATAAAAGGTTATATGATTGCAGATGAAAAGCATGAAAAAGGAACACATCCATATATGAATCTCACAAAACTAGAGCTGGCAAACGGGTCGTTTTAACGGGTTCCGGGTCGTTAACGGGTTAACCCGTTTTCTTAACGGGTTGACACGAACACGACCCGTTAAGTTAACGGGTGACAAATACTAGACCCAAACACGACCCGTTACAATTCGCGAATATCCGACACGACCCGTTAACCCGTTAAGAATAAACCAGAAAAAAAAAAAAACTATCACAGCTTCTCTACCAACACGCCTTCTCTGTCTTTTTTCCCCCAAACCCCAACCCTAACTTTTCTTCCCTCTTTCCCTCTTCATTTCAGTCCTCTCACCCCAAAACAGTATATATCTCTCTCTCACAGATATCTTAAAAACTTAACAACTAAATAAATTGAGGAAGAAAGAAAATTCAAAATTAACTGAGAGAACCAAAACCAACAACTCTAGAATCAATCACCCTCTGTGGACCGACCTAGATACCTCCTCCTTGATCCCTGGTGGCTGGGTTGGCGAAGTCATCCCTGGTGGCTGGGTTGGCGGAGTCTATTGAGTGGAGAGAAGAAGAGCAGAAGAGAATCTTGACAAAAAGATAGCAGAAGAGAAAAAGAGAAGAACAGAGCAGAAGAGAAGAACGAGAGGAAGAAGAAAAGGAAAAGGGGAAAGAAGAAAAAGACAAAAAGGTAAGAAGAAAAAGACACGGAAAGAAGAAAGAAAAGGGGAAGAAGAAAAGAAAAGAAAAATATTTTGCAAAATTACAAAATTAACCTTCTTAACGGGTGGTAACGGGTTAACCCGTTTTCGACCCGAAACGACCCGTTAGCTTAACGGGTGGCTAACGGGTTCACCCGTTTTCAACCCGACCCAATAAGCTCAACCCAAATACTGATAATTTCGTGCGAATTCGTGTCGTGTTAACGGGTCGTGTGCAATATTGCCGGGTCTACACAAAACACAAAGATCCAGACACGCATGAGAGTGAAAGAGATGCGACTAACAATTATCTGTATAGAATTAATTAATAATATGTTTAAATTTATTAATTCTTCTATATATATATATATATAATTAATTAATTAAAATTCTAGGTGCCAAAGTGTGTTGACAAGGACTTGCTGGTATCTTAAGCCCCTGGAGTTTGTTGACGATGTTATCATTATTGAAGAGGGTGAACCACTTCAAATGATGCTCTACGTTGTGGAGGGTAAAGAAGTACACAACTCATATTAGGTATGGAGATGTAGCTATTGCGCCGGCTGTTGCTTCTCAGACCCACCACATAAATGTGGTGAGGTTCTTAGGTCTTTGTCGGAAAGAAGACAAACCTGTTGCACTACTACTTCCAATGGCACACTTTTTGAGCACATTCATAAACTAAAACCAATTGCACTACTACTTTCATTGGAGTTACGACTCAAGATAGCGTCAGAAATAGCTAGAGCACTAGCTTACTTACACTCGTTCACTTCCGCGCCGATCATACACCAATGTTTGGCGACGAAATATATACTATTAGATGATCATTACACGGCAAAGTTGTCTGACATAGTCACGATTGTTCAATGCACCTTATTTAAGCTCAGATTATATCCCATTTTCGAAATGACAGACTAGCAGAAAAGAGTGACGTCTATAGCTTTGGAGTTGTCCTGGCGGAGCTACTAACAATTCAAAAGCCAGTTTCTCCTCCTGTGAACCTAGCAAGCTTATTTCGAACTTCAGTGGAAGGGGGTCGCTTGGACCTAATTCTTGATGCTCAAATAATAGTCAATGAAGCAACTTCTGAGACGACCAAAAAGGTGGCGGATCTGGCAAAAATATATTTGGGGTTACAAAGGAAGGCAAGTAGCCGTGGAGCTTGAGGGATTGCGCAAGTTTATTTCAGAGTATCAAAGGGGAGAAGACGTAGAACCCAGTTTCTCTTGATATCCCAAAGAGGCCGGACTCGTTACAACCGTGAACAACAATAATATATTTTTTAAATAATAACAAGCAAGGTACATTTGTCAGTCTCAGATAAATAACATGTGTGTCGCCTACTTCCAACAAAATTTGTCGGCAAATCAACCTCTAATAATTCTCTGTTTATATTCTCCTCTTGACTGATAAGTATTATATTAATCCTGTTCAGTTTGGGTAAAGAAGAACAAAAACAAGCCTGTATCTTGTACGCGTTGGTGGCTGAGAGACAATGGTGAAGAAGTTGACAACTATGGTAACATTAGAAACTCCACTAATTGGTTGCTTCAGAAATTCTTGTAAATATATCACACAGAAAATTGCTGGATCCGAATCATAAATTACCTATTGCCCCCACAGAAATCCAAATTCACCATCTTAAAAGAGAAGTAAAATTTTGGGCTAGGAAACAAAATATTGAAAAAGTTCCACTTGAAAGCAAGAAAATTGTCACACTAATGGTCATGTAAAACCAGCATATGTATGCCATCAAACTGCTTTCAAGCTGATTCACTGCCTCTTGGAGAACCATGGTTATCTTCATCATCTTCAACAGGGCTCCTATCACCCCTGCGGATGGGGCTTGGGCTGCGACTGCGACTGCGGCTGCGGCTGTGACCGTTTTCTTCAGCAGGGCTTCTATGCCTCCTATCCCCGTTCTTGTCTCCTTCAACATCGTTAATAGGGCTTCTGCTCTTTCCCCTGGGACTCCTACTGTAATCGGATCTGCGATCCTGGGGGGAGAGGCTACCCCTCACTCGTGGGCTCCTCCCTTCGGGTGTACGATCGTGCTTCCTTCCCTTGGATGGTGGTGGTGAAGCCCTACGCCTCTTAGGGCTCCGGCTGTCTTGAGGGCTCCTTGATCTTCTCTCCAAACTCCTTTCTCTCCTCACAGGTGATCTGGATCGACTGCACATTAAAAAAGAAGAAAAGAATGATTGAGTTTAAACAAAAATTATGCAGAAATAGGTCAAATATCACATAGATACTTGAAAACTCGCTACTCCCGCCAAGGATTTGCTTCAAAGACCTTTGACAGATCAGGCACAGATCAAAGGCAAGCAGTAAAAAGTCTGGGAAAAATCTCATGAGAAAAGGGATGGATGATAAACCTGTAACTATGACCCCTGCTGTAACTACGGCTTCGACTTCTGCCTCGCCTTGGACTTGGTGAACGTGAATGACTACGCCCTCTGCATATAAAATAAATAAATAAATCA